CCTAAACCCTAACACTAACACCTAACACCTAACACCTAACACCTAACACCTAACACCTAACACCTAACACCTAACACCTAACACCTAACACCTAACACCTAACACCTAACACCTAACACCTAACACCTAACACCTAACACCTAACACCTAACACCTAACACCTAACACCTAACACCTAACACCTAACACCTAACACCTAACACCTAACACCTAACACCTAACACCTAACACCTAACACCTAACACCTAACACCTAACACCTAACACCTAACACCTAACACCTAACACCTAACACCTAACACCTAACACCTAACACCTAACACCTAACACCTAACACCTAACACCTAACACCTAACAGTTAGGTGTCACGTGATTAGGATTAGTAAGCAAATTACTTAATCATATGGTGACTAATATGCTTTGTCATAGATATTACGTAACAGGCACATGTTCGTATCACGTCACATCCTTTCGGGTGTTTACGGGAAGTACTCGGGTGATCTCGGATCAACGGGGAAAGTCGCATATTAGTGTGGGAACATTCAATGCATCTCATTGGCTGGAGATAACAATCCACATGGTATGTTTCTATTATTACTACAAAATTACTCATCATCTTATCATTCGAGATGGTGTCATCATCCCATCATACCATACAACTAAGGAGTCCTGACCAGTATTTATACAAAACTGGACAATGGAAGGGGGACTAACAATCCCCACCAGTTGATTCCTTAGTCCAGGTGTAATACTCGTTTCGCTTCGCTCAACTTCGACCTAACAACATAACAGCAAACTCCCTCCTCCAAAATGTCATCTGTTTTTTCACCCTCCTCTGCATTTTTACGTGCCACTTCCCCAGCCAACTTTGCTTCTATTGAGGCTCAGTTTAGTGCTGTAGAGCAGAGTGAAGGGGTCTCGTCCCGTCGCTCTCGCTGGCAGATTTTTCAGGGTGCAAACTCTGTTAATGACGTCATTGCCATGGTCCCACAAGACTATAGGCACGTTCTTCGGGAACCCCTCCTAGGGGTAGCGCAGACCGCCAAGAAGGCTAATGCGTCCCGGGCCACTATTGCAAAGTGGGAGCAGCATCAAGCTGCTGGAACTTTCCCCTCCCACCTTAAATCTAAGGCCCCAAAATCCAACTCTCCAAGGGATTTGGGGAAACATCAGAAGCAAAGGAGGCATCCAATGCTTTAGACCAGGAATTTAACACATTTCTGGCCAAGTCACTCATTACTAGCCTGAAAGCTAAACGAGATGAACTGATGTTTTTGAGTGGGGCATTAGAACCCCAGAATATTCTAAACGAGTTGGGACCCAAAATCTCAGCTCGTACTGCAGAGCTTTGTGCAAAGCAGATCCCCGAGTTCACTAACAATGAGAAAGGGGAATTGATTATTTCTGGATGGACTACCAATCCAGCCGCTATCAATTTAGGTCGACAAGTGCTTGAAGATTGTGTAGTCTATGCTATGCGAGTCATCTCTATCATCGATGCTATCGAATTCGCAGAGCAGAATAAGCGCAAGGGCAAGAAGAACATTCAGGAGGCTGCAGACATTGAGATGGCTGATCTAGCTGGAGGTAACTCTAGTAAGATGCAGTCTATCATAGACAAAGCAGTTGCTCGCGCTATAAAAGGAAAGGACAAAGTGACCAATAAAGTAAGTACATTCGCATTTGGAGATGTGCTGGCTTTTTCCTATGGAAAGGCTAGCTCTTCTCAAAGTGTTGATTGTAAACTTACATTTTCTTTAGAAGCAGAACAAGAAGAAAACATCCTCTTCCTCCAAAAAGGTGAAGGTTCCTACGGCGAAACAGTATATTCCGCCACCCATGGCAGGCAAGAAGGTCAAAGCCACCAATGGGGGAAAGCTTCCCAAGTCGTCCAAGAAGGCGCAAGGCAAAGGCAAGGGCAAGGGCAAGAAAAAGTCCTCCAATTAACTGGATACAGGTATGGAGAACCCCAAACTCTTCCAGATTGGTTACTAACCGTTCCATTCACCCAGGCAGTAGAATTAGTGATTTTAAATACACCTGTAGATATTATTAATGCTGCCCAATTTAAAAATTATGTTCATTCATCTCCTGGTGTGAATTTGCCTGATAAAATTGCATTTCAACTAAGCGTAGGGTTAAGATATATGTACCACCAACCCTTAAATAAGAAACTTATTCTTGAGTCTTGGCATGATTTTCAGAGAAGACTTAGATGGAGAATATTCCATTCGTTTGGTAAAAATGACAACAGTAATTATGATCCTGATTATGATTTGAGGGCCCCCTCTGAAAATACCCCTCCATATTTACCGCAATATCTTGAACTTGGACTTGTCAAGGGCCGGATTTTTGTGAATAATACAATATCCAAAATACCTGATGAGACGCCGAAGGATTACTATAAACCTCTCACCCCTTCGGCTAAACAAATCAAAGAGTTTTTAATAAGCAATAATTATATTGTTACAATGACAGATAAAAACCTGGGCTTAGCGGTGTCTGAGAGGACCTGGATTATAACGAAATGTCTAGATATTCTTAATAATAAAAAGGACTATACTCCTTTATCAAGTATAGATAAACAAAGAATTCTAGATAAGAAATGTTCTGATATGAAATATATATCAGCGTTAGCACAAGAAATTCATGAATTAAAGTGGAGTGCAATCCCAAAAGACTTACCTAATTTTCTCGGTAGTAAAGTTACGGAGGTAGGTGGGAAGCATGTCGTACCCACTTTTTATGGTATCCCTAAAATCCATAAACAGCCTGTAAAAATGAGGCCAATTATTCCATGTCATTCTGCAATAATGAATCCTGCTGCTAAATACGTTTCTAAACAACTTAAACCCCTGATTGAAGGGTCGCCAACTATTATTCATGGTTCCAAAGACCTGGCGATTAAGTTGTCTAAACTCAGTCTTACACCAGGCAGGCACTGGTATATTGTCACAGGAGATGTAGTTGCGTTCTACCCCAATATTCCACTGAATAAGTGTTTAGATATTGTATATAACATGTGGTACTATCATGTTTATGACGACTATGGACCCGACTATGACTCTCCTATTAATAGAAAAATTCAAGACCTCTTTAAACGATGTCTTTATGTTGGATACTGAGCTTGTAACACAATTTCAAAATAAATTTTATTTGCAAAATAATGGCCTTGCAATGGGGGTAGCAGATTCACCGGATCTTGCTAATCTCTATGGGGCGTATTTTGAGACAAAAAATAAAGTTCTTGAAAATCCAGCCATAGCTTTTTATGGCAAATACATCGATGACTGTCTCGCTATTGTTTATGCAGAAAGTGAACAAGAAGCACTTCAAAAAGTCGAGAATATTGTCAAATTTGATGAATGTGTTATTGAGTGGAATGTCAGCGCCTCTTGGCAACCGTTTCTAGACATGGCGTTATATAAAGATGAAAATTATAAATTGCAACACATGCCGTACCGAAAAGCTGGCAACCACCAAGAAAGAGTTCCATGGATCTCGCATCATCCATTAGATGTCAAAAGGGGAACATTTATTGGAGAAATGTCTCGGCTCGCTACTCTCAGTACTACCTTATCAGTGTACAAAGATGCAATACGAGGTTTAGTAGCCTTGTATATACGCAGAGGGTATCCTGCCAATCTAGTCAATTCTTGGATGAGAAATAATATCCGCGAACGATGGAATAATAGACTTCATATACATAAGTCTAGTGAGCACGTGGACATTCTAGTTCTCAAAACAGAATTCAACTTAGCATGGAACTACTTTAATGCAAATGAACTTTCTAAAACTATTTTCGGATATTGGAAGACTTGGCTCAGCAAAGCTGACAAGAAAGAATTCTCTTCAGAATTCCCTGCACCCCCGGAAGATGATAAATATCAAATCGTAGCGATGCCTACAGATTACCTGTATGTATCAATGCGAGGAGAAGAATATTATATTCCGGATATTCGCAAACTCGATATCCTTAATAGAAAATTAATTACAAGTCGTAAACGCACTCGTAATTTATTGGATCTTGCGAGTCTTTGGAAAAAGACAGTTTTAGAATCGATGGATACGCAAATCTTGGAAGAAGAGTATTATAATCCATTATTTAATCCTACCCCTCCTGTCGAGGAGCGAATGGATGTAGATAGTGACTTAATGAATTATTCAGCTAACAGAATACTCCATCTTCGTGTATCACCTGACCCCGTTTCTCGCGGGTGGCGGCAGGCTCATTGGTAGAGGAAAGCAGCGAACAGTATTACACTACTGTACAAACACAAACAGGGTTCTCTTCCCTGGCTCGAGTCGACTTGACATTAAGTTGTGAGTCGAAAATCGGCGTGCTCTTGGGGGATAAAGATAATTAACCCTTGATATGTTTTCTATTTATCTTTTAGGTACTTGTCTTCATAGAAAGATTCGTGTACTGCCTAGTAGATTGTGAGTAATTTATTAGTGGGCTTGTTGTTTCTCAGCAAACATAACACTTGAATGTGCGGTGGCGACTATGCTCCGTGGGAAGAACCATTTGTGGGGACCAGAAAATGCCAGAGTAAACTAGTGATGGGAACATCAGTTCATTTCAAGCGATAATACATTTTGTAGGTACTTTCTTACCTGTTTTTTATAACAGATGGTATTAACCGTGGTTTTCAGAGACTTAGACACTAACACCTAACTCCGTAACCCTAAGTAAGTACATAGCTATGAAAATAGTTAAATAGTTAAATTGTAATCTAATATAACCCTTTATTTATTACATAAGCACCTAACACCTAACACCTAACGTAAGGAATAATTCGTTTTGTGTTAACTGATCATGTACTAATTATACATAACGTATTTTAGACCTAACACCTAACAGTTAGGTGTCACGTGATTAGGATTAGTAAGCAAATTACTTAATCATATGGTCACTAATATGCTTTGTCATAGATATTACGTAACAGGCACATGTTCGTATCACGTGACATCCTTTCGGGTGTTTACGGGAAGTACTCGGGTGATCTCGGATCAACGGGGAAAGTCGGATATTAGTGTGGGAAAATTCAATACATCTCATTGGTTGAAGAAAACAATCCACATGGTATGTTTCTATTATTACTACAAAATTACTGATCATGTTATCATTCTCGATAGTGTGATCATTGCATCATACGATACAACTAAGGAGTCCTGACGAGTATTTATATGAAACTGGACGATGAAAGGGGGACTAACAATCCCCACCAGTTGATTCCTTAGTCGAGGTGTAATACTCGTTTCGCTTCGCTCAACTTTGACCTAACACCTAACAGTTAGGTGTCACCTGATTAGCATTAGTAAGCAAATTACTTAATCATATGGTCACTAATATCCTTTGTCATAGATATTACGTAACAGGCACATGTTCGTATCACGTCACATCCTTTCGGGTGGCTACAGGAAGTACTTGCGTGATCTCGGATCAACGGGGAAAGTCGGATATTAGTGTGGGAAGATTCAATGCATCTCATTGGCTGGAGATAACAATCCACATGGTATGTTTCTATTATTACTACAAAATTACTGATCATGTTATCATTCTCAATGGTGTGATCATCGCATCATACGATACAACTAAGAAGTCCTGACGAGTATTTATACGAAACTGGACGATGGAAGGGGGACTAACAATCCCCACCAGTTGATTCCTTAGTCGAGGTGTTATACTCGTTTCGCTTCGCTCAACTTCGACCTAACGTAAGGAATAATTCGTTTTTGTGTTAACTAATCATGTACTAATAATATATAATGTATTTTAGACCTAACACCTAACAGTTAGGTGTCACATGATTAGGATTAGTAAGCAAATTACTTAATCATATGGACTAATATGCTTTGTCATAGATATTACGTAACAGGCACATATTCATATTACATGACACCCTTTTAGGTGTTCACAGGAAGTACTTGGATGATCTCGGATCAATGGAGAAAGTCACATATTAGTGTGGGAAGATTTAATCCATCTCATTGGTTGGAGATAACAATCCACATCTTATCTTTCTATTATTACTACAAAATTACTCATCATGTTATCATTCGAGATAGTATTATTATCTCATTATATTATACAACTAACTAGTCCTGACCAGTATTTATACAAAACTCGACAATACAAGGAGGACTAACAATCCCCATCAGTTCATTCCTTAATCTAGGTATTATACTTGTTTCACTTTGCTCAACTTCAATCTAACCTTAGAAAGAATATATTCAAGTTATATAGTATCTCACAAAAAGTTATCAATAATTGAGAACCTCAGTTTGAGTCTCAGTTTATGAAAGACTTATATTAACTCTTGAGTATTGAAAGCAATCCTTCCATAGCTTATCACCCTCAAATAGATAGATAAACTGAACACATTAATCAAAAGATCAAATAGTACTTAAGGGTCTATGTTAACTTTAGACAAAACAACTGGTTAGTGTTATAAACCTAGGCACTGATGTAGGACCCCTATTCTTTTCTCCACATGACTCGTTTCATTTATCTTTTGTTTTATATCTACCTGAACTCCTACATTTATCTATCCCTGTTTCACAAACACATACTTACTGATACACAAGGTGGCATTTGTTATAAAACTAAGTTTATTTTTGCTTTTTGCTTACTAAGCAGCTTACATAATTATATCATATGACTAAGCACTTACATAACCATCTTATATAAGCTGAGTATCTAAGCATCTTATATAAGTATGCTTACCTAATCACTTATCTAATATACTTACATAAGTGGCTTACTTAAGCACTTACTAATCATATGACTCAACTGTCTTGCTAAACATCTTCTCTTATTTTATTACTCTCTTATCTTTACTGCTCACTCACTTGTTCTAGAATATTCCAAGACCTTCTAGAATATTCTAGAACATTCTCTCATATTTTACTACCTTCTATTATTCTTCCTAGTCAACTTTCCTTATTAGGACTAGTCTTCTCTGTAATTAGCCTATTTTAGTGTTTTAGCTAGCATAGCCTAGCTTAGCCTATAGTTAGCCTATTTGTTCTGTTTCAACTAGCACAGCCTAGCATAGCTTAGTTTAGTCTAATAGTTTAGCCATAGTCCCTGCCAAGTTTTTCCATTATTCCCACACTATTCCCACATGTATAAATACCCCCTCTTATCAGTAGCTAGCCCCTCAGTCTTGATCTTGTCTTTCCTTCTGGACTAGTATCTCCCAATACACTCTCTTGTCTCTTCTCTCCTCTGTCTCTGTCTATATCAGTATATACTAGTTGTGCCTTGTCTTCAGACCCTGCTGACTAATCCTGGTACTAGAACTAGTCATTGCTGACAGCATTATATCATTATAACTCCATATGACTTATTCACAACAATCATGTGATAGTTATATTGCTATGCAGTAGTAGAGTATTTATACAGGGCTTGTTGCTGGCTTAGCCTCTTAGCTTGACCTCTTGTTTCTTAATCAAACTAAAGTTGTTCACAACAATTTTACTCAATTCTGATTGACATCTCAGGACAAAAAGCTTAAACACATCTACTAGTGATAGTATAAGAGGATCTTATTGCTAATATTCTAACTAAAACAGTGTTGAGTCTTACTTAGTAATTAATAGCTTCTATACTTGAATAATGAATTGCAAAACTTAGTGTTTTCCTTAACAATATCTATTACCAAACTTATAAGAGTATACTGATATGTATCACACAAACCCTGTTTTCTATCTACTTAAAGAGGCCCAAGTGTCAGCAACTAGAGGGACCTTACACCTAATAAGTACTAAATAAGAGCCATAAAGTGAGGGAAATAAGTATATAGAGATATTAGAATAAAACAAGAACAAAACTAAATTATACATAAGCTACTAGATGACCTTATATACTGTTAGAGCACGAGAATAATAGTATATATGAGGAGGTTATATGTGCAGCTTGTATAAATCATGTGACTAATAAATATCCAAGAAAGGGAAGATTGGCCTTTAGCTTTAAATAATAAAAATAGAAAAAAGTAAAAGATATAAAAAAAAATTGATACATATTACTGTCCACTTATAATATTACCCCCCTTTTAAATGAAATGTCCTCATTTTCTTATTCCTCTCCTTGGGTTATGAGCTAGGTAGGCTTGGAGGTATTAGAGTCTATGATTCGAAGTTGACAAGGTGCATTAAAGTAATCTTCATAGAACTTCTTGATAATGTCTAATATATTCTTTAAATCCTTCTCAGATATTCATTTATTCTATTTGTTATTATAGCCTTTCTATTTAACTAAGAACCATATTTCTCCTCTAGCAGTTACTTTAGCCTCCTTAATATACTTGACTTCCCACTTTTTTTGTCTATTAATAATCTTAGATAGAGAAAGTAAGAGTTATTGCTGCGACTTGAACTATGGGGGGTGATAAGAGGAAAGCAATACTTTGTTAAATATATTATGAATTTTTCATTGACTAGATAGCTTAAGATGATAGGCTAACTTTTCAACTTTCTCTAAGATCTCAAAAGGCCCTAATTATTTGTTATTAAGTTTCTTCATAAGATGTTTAATTATAATATTAGTTGCCTTAAGCCAGATCTTATCACCTTTCTTGTATTAGATGGATTTCCCTTTAGTTTAATTATAGAACTGTTTTATAGTTTCCACTGCTATCTTCAAACTAGCTTCCATCTCTTTTTAGACTTTACTTATACGTTCTTCAAATTGTTGGGCAGACTTACTTCAAACTTCAGTATGAAGGTTGAATCCTTTAAAAAGGTGATGACCATAGTTAACAAAGAATAGAGAATGATCTGTAGATGTCTGTACTTTATTATTGTATAAGAACTCTGCTGTAGATAACTACTCTGACTATTAAGAAAAACACTAAGTCTTACAATTCATTATTCGAGTTTAGAAGTTGTTGATCACTGAGTAAGACTTAACACTGTTTTAGTTAGGATATTAGCAACAAGATCCTCTTGTGCTATTACTAGTAGATATACTTAAGCTCTCTATTCTGAGGTATTAATCAGAATTGAGTAAGACTGTTGTAAACAACTTAGTTTGATTAAGAAATAAGAGGTCAAGTTAAGAGGCTAAGTCAGCTATAAGCCCTATATAAATACTTTACTACTGCACAGCAATATAACTATCACATGATTGTTGTGAATGAGTTATGTAGAGTCATAATAACACAATGCTTCCTTGTATATTAGTAAGCATATATTTTATAAAACAGGAGTAAATAAATGTGGGAGTCCAA